GTAATCAGGTAATGTCAATTGTTCACATGAATCATCTCTAGGATTCATCACCTCATCTTCCTCTGTCTTTTCCTGGTTTCAGACTCTCACTGTCCTTCTGTTATTCTGTGCTAACTATTCCTGTCAGGGTGAGGTCCCGCTTCTGCCCTTTCCATGTTTCCTCTGGTGTGTGTACTGCTTTCTTCTTTCTTCTGTGGGAAACTCCTAGTCTTGTTATATGCTTTACTTATTTGTTTTTTCATTTATTTCTACCAATCAGGACTTATGAAACATTCTCTTGTGCTATCCTTAGTAGGGATTTTCTTTTTGCATAGATGGGGTTTTAAATATAATTCTTTACATTGAGTTGTGGCTTTCACAAACTCTGATCTCATGTACATGATGTCTATTTTTAGCTGATGTTCATATCTAGACTTTCAACTATTTACATATAGTAAATACCTTGAAAAACTTTTATTAGGAAAAGTTTGTAACATACAAAATCCTACAGATGATGGTGTAATGAACTCCTTGTTCCCATCACCTGGCTTCAGGAAGAATGATCATGTGGACAATTTTATTTCATCTACACAACCCACAGCCCTGTGTGCCATTGTTTGGAATCAGATACCACATGACATACATAATATTTAAAAATCATATGTATTCTAAGTGATAAAAACACTTTCAAGTATCATTATAACTTGGTAAAACACCTTACTATTCTCTAATACACAATGATCAGATTCCTTGGTTGTCTTATAAGTGTATATTTTTTGTTTTTGTTTTGTGTTTTGGTGGTAATGGGGATTGAACCCAGGGCCTCATGAACACTAGGCAAGCACTCTACCACTGAACTACACCCCCGATTTTCATCAGTGTATTTTAAAAAGTACATTTGTTCAAATAAAGATCCAAATAAGGTCCATACATTGCTATTAGATTGATTTATTTTAAGACTTATCTAATCTCTAAATCTCATTGTCAGTCTCGGTCTCCCCCCCCACCAGAATCACTGGTTGAAAAACACAAGTGTGTCTCTTGGATGTACTGATGATGTCTTCATTTCCTTTATCCATCAGTTTTCAAATTAATAAATTGGTTCTCTAGCATTCTTCAAAGGCGACCCTGAGTATATTTTTTCCATAGTATTAGTATGAATGCACAGATTTTAAAAATTTATTCCTTTAATTCTTGCATTTATTATCTTTACTGGTGCCCAAATTGACCCATCCTTGGCCAGTGGGAGTTTCTTCAGTTTGACTTCTGAGTTTTTTTGACTGGGAAATATTGGGTTCTTTTTATTATAATTCATCTTATAAACTTCCTTCCCCATACTTGGAATCAGCTATATCTCTTAAAAACTGGATCTTTTTACTGGGAAATGATATTTACCCATTTTGTTACTTCTGTCTTTTGCTCATTTTGTTATTTGTATCTTTATTTTCTGATGGTATTATTTGTCACGCACAACATGCTTATATGTATATACTACCAAAATTAGCATATGTATATACATATAGACTCAAAATTTATACATATTTACACATATGTGTATACTATGAAAATGTACCAATCAAACCCACCCAAGTTATGGTGGAATACATCCATATTTTCTTCTAGTCCTTGTATAGCTTCATTTTTCTAAATATATAAAATCTCTCATTTACTTGGAAAATATACTGGTGTGCAGTATGAAGAATATGTCCAGTTTTATCTTTTTTTTTTACATATAGTTCTCTATGCCAATACTTATTAAAATCCATTTCCCTGACTGATTTGAAATGCTGCCTTTAATGTATACTAAGTTTCAAATGCAATTGAGTATACTGCAGAATTGTTAATATTGTTTCATTGTTCTGTGTATTAGTGCACCAAAACCATGCTGGTTTGATTTTGGAGGCTTTGTAGTGTGTGTTGGTTCACAGAACTAGTCACCTCACCATTGCTCTTTGTTTTCCTGGCTATTGCAGTTTGTTCTCTCACATGAAGTATCTGATCAGCTTGTTTAATCCCAGACATGAGAGAAGAATGAATTGGACGCACTTCTAACTCAGAGGGTAAAATCTTTGGAAAAAATTCCATTTCAGGAGCATTTTGAAGGTTAATTTTTCTGAAACAGGTGTTGCCTGGCATGGGTAATGGGGATAAAGGTCATTTGGGAAGTTGGAGCCTGACTGAGACATTAACCTTGATGTTTCAGCAAGCTAATAAGAAAAATACAGAGGACATAAATTCCAAAATAATAATGAAATAATGATTCATTTTACTCTTTTTGTACTAATCTGATTTTATGTGCCTCTATGCAGCTTTTAGTGAGAGTTGATTTGTCTTAACTTTGGCATTTGTCACCACACAAAAGCACAGGGTTGTCTGTTGCCCTTTCACACAAGGAAAGACCTACATGGTGTGGTCTTCATTAGTCGTGGGCACTGAAAGCTGCTCGTAGCCATGACCCGCGATAAGTCATCTGCTCGTGGTGTGGTGGGAGGAAGGGGGTGGTGTTGGGAGGAAAATGATGCCTTCAAATAAGCTCAGCCTTTGGAATTCATCAGGTCTGGCTTCAAATCATAGTACTCCTGCTTCCTAGTCATGTGACCTTGGGGCAGTCGATTTCCTTATGTGCCAAATGAGCAGGTGGATGTGTACCTTACAGGTACTGAGCTGGCTAAATGAAAGGAACATAGGAGTCTCCTTTCTTGACCTCATTTCCTGTTTTCCTCTCTATTAAGCATGCTGACTGACACATCCAGGAGTTACAGCTATGATTCTGCCTTTATCGTCACTATGTGGGTGAAGAAATTTGTATGTAATTTATGTTTTATCATATTTGGAGTTCAAATGTTATAGGAAAAAGAAGAGACTGTGTTTGTCTCTTTGACAGAATGGTATTTGAAACAAGATTTGGGAAAGTAGGGAGAAGTAAGTAAATCTTTTTTTCTTTTCCTTTTTGGTACTGGGAACAGAACCCAGGGTCTTTGCATTGAGCTGCATTTCCAGTCTTTTTAAAAATTATTTTAAATTTTTAAGAATTTTAAATGTTGACACAGGGTCTTGCTAAGTCATGAGGTTGCCCAGGATGGGCCAGAACTTGCAATCCTTCTGCCTCAGCTTCCCAGAGTGCTGGGATTACAGATGTGTGACACCATGCCAGACTAGTCTTCTTTTATGGGAGAGTCTGCTCAAAGACTTGAATGGATCCAGGAATACCTTGGAATCATTCCTGGCTGCTGAGTAAACTAGCACGCCATTTTGGAGATCTCACAGCCAGAGCTTAAAGCCAAGCCAAGCACTGACTTTAGTTTTCTTAGGTTCTAACTATAGAGATTTTAAAAAATGATTTACTTCAAATTTAAAAGACAGGACATATTTTAGTGCCATATACAATGTGTGTATTCTTTTCCCATCAAATCCTGTTGGAATCATTACTGAGCACTTATTCTGGGTGAGCACTGCCAGGCTGCAGGGATATAAAGAGCAATTCAGGTGATGTTCTTGTGCTTAAGTCATTTCTTGATAAATATGGTGAGACTGATGTGTTTAAAAAGGAGTTAGGCTTCTGGTTCGTTTGGGGAATCAGTTTCTGATTTCTTGATACCTTATGGGAAATAATGGAATTTTGTGTACACACCAATAAACAAAAACAAAATGAACAAAACCCCCCCCCTCAGAACACCCACAGTATATGGTCAAATAATTTTCTCATTCTCAAACATATCTGATGCATTTGGAAATGAATCATGTATGAGAATTGACGATCTTGAATCACCTTGGTATTTTTACTATAAATTAACCTTTAAAATTTAAAGCAAATGCTTAATCAGAGATGTTCTGTGCTCTTTACAAGTATCTAGTTTTGCATTAACCCAAAATATTTATATATATTTTTTGCTGATTTAAAAAGTATTCAGTTCCTTTTTGAGATTTAGCCTATCGTAAGGAATGAAGCCTTCACTTCATTTAAATAAACACATCAAACCCCAAACCCCACACAATAAATGAAACAACCCCAAATTTGTCCATTTCTAAGCCTAAGGGCCACACTGATGTCATTTTCCCCTCCCTGTGTTGGGGTTAACCGCATGTGTTTTGCTCCTTGTCGGCCTGTCCCTGTTGGAAACGCACATCAAGTCCCACACAGAGGGCTTCCTTCCTGTTTGGCTCAGGCCACTACACAATGCAAAGTGTCATGGTTTTGCTTTATATTGATTCAAAGGAATTCAACAAAAGTAAAAGCATAACAGCACGCAGCACCCTTCTCCTTTGGGCAAGAACAGGATTATTGCTGACACTTTTCTTCTGTACCAGATCTACTGCTCTCTAAGCAGTCAGGGTCTACAGGTGACAGCAAAGAGACAAATTAGTTCAAAATTAGTTTCTTATCTGTAGATTCAAGGGTAGCCTCCTCTGGTGGCACTGTGCTGGTAGAGTTACCAGATTATTAGATGTCTAGTAAGTTTGAATTTCAGATGATAGATGAATATATTTTTAGTATAAGTATGTCTCAGGCATTACTTATACCGAAAACATCATAATTTATCTGATATTCAGATATAACTGATGTTCTATAAGTTTTTATTATACTTTTTCTTTTTAAGATGTTAGCATAAATTTATTTATGGCATAAAAGTGATAACATGATACACACAGTGGAATAATTACATCAATATCATTAACATGTCTGATAACCTCAAATACTTAGATTTTGGTGAGAACACTTGAAATCTACTCTTTGCAGTTTTGAAATATATATTACTATTAACGAGAGACTCCAAACTGTGCAAAAGATCTAAAGAAAACCCGTCCTGTCTAACTGAAGATATTTCTATTTTTTGTGACATCTGGCAACCTGCATTGGTTGGCTTCTTGGAAAGAGAATATTTTTGCACAGTATTTGTATTTATGTACCTATGAAGTTTGGCAGAGACATGTATGTAGGGTAAGCAACACCTGCGTGTTTCTTCTGTTTTTGTAGACATCAGTGTCTGTAATCCATGACCTGAGGCCCTTGAACATCTTACCTGTTCAGCCTTCAGAATAGTTGAACAAGATAAAATATTCTGGGGATGAAAACAGCCCCAGGCTCCTTGCTTTTCTCTTGTCCTCTGTCCACAAGAACGAAGTCTCACGGCCACTCTCTGTTGTCTGGCTCAGTATGAGACTGGCTATTCCATTTCATCTCAAACAGGTCACAATGGGAACCTAATTCCAGGCCCAAGTTCAATATTTGGCTTTTGTTAAATATTACACAACTACTGATCTTTCATGCCCAGAGGTTCCTTTTATTGAATTTTGATGTCTGATTCTGTCTCCTTCATAGGAATTGAATCTACTCACACAAAGATTCAATTTGAAAATTGGTATAAAGAATTCTCCCCTTTATGTCTGGGTAGCCCAGGCCACCAGCAATGGTATTGTTCTCCTATGTTGCTCCCATTGTAATGAGTGTACAAGACAAACCTTTAGATCTAGTGCAAGTTTAATTGAAAGAAACATTTCAGCACTGAGATCTATTATTCAGTGAATTTAAAGGGAAATAAACTAACATTGATGTGTGTCTAGGGTTCACAAACATGCCAGATGAATAAATATGTTGGCTCATAATTTATTTTGACAAGGTTCTTGGACTATACAAAATGTTGAATAACAAAAAAAGAGGTTGCTGTGCATGAATAAGGGTGACACCCTCTCTAGAGAACTATTCCCTTTTCTAAATAAGTGTTCACACTGATAGGTGGCCAGTCCTTAATTCCATGGAGAAACAGAGGGGATGGAGTGGACAGATCCAGTTCCAGGGCAAGCATCTGAAGAGTAGAATTACTACTGTCAGAGGTCTATACACTCATCATGTGAGGGCAATATGTGTTTGCATAGGAGTGTTTCTGTTTAGTGATGGCTCCTTTTCCCCACATGACTTCATAGAATTCTTTTAAGTCACTTGGCCATAGTAAGCTGATTTTGGTCTTGACCAAATTGCTAGTGACCTTAACAAGCTGCAAACATGTTTTCTACAATTATTGCACTTACTTAGCTTATAAATTTTTTTTTCCCATAGAAGAAACTTCTCTTGGTTTTCTATATCATCTAGAAAGGGTTGCTTCCACTTCTAGACATTTCAGGTGGTGTGAATCACTATATAGTGAATCAGCCTTTGGTGATCTTTCCTCTACCTTGTTGTTGTTGATGTTGTTGTTAAAGGTTTTAGCAACAATGAAATGGCCAAAAGGCAAGGGATCACATTTAACTCAGACTAATGAAAAGCTTGCTCCATCCTAAACCTTTGGAATTTTGAACTGGGTTTGTGAAACAGTTGTGCTTATGATTCTAGTGAATTGTGCTCTTAGAATACAGTCACTTATTATAAACTATTGAAATGTAAGTGCATTTTAGAAGCATCTATGTATCATATTCATTAAACTGCATATGTTTTCCAGATGCTGATGACTTAATGCAAATCGCAGGAAAGGCATTTTCCTTTCCAGAACTTGTAGTGGTTCTTTGGATGCTGATCTCTCATAATTTTATTGATTCTGACTTTAAGTATTTCAAATGCCATCAAGTGAAATTTGGCAAAACAATTTCTACTCTAGATAGATTTAAAAAATTTCTCTGTTTGATGTGCTTGGCGATGCTATCTAAACCAATAGTCATGAGTGTGAAAATGCATTATTTGACAAGCAGGTGAAAGCTAAACAATTTTAGGGGGTTATCCTATAGCAGTGAAGTCCTAGATAAATTAAAGACAGGAATAGGAATGCAGTCAAGTCCCAGCCCTTCCTCCGGGTGTTTATGGTGCTGAGAGCTGAAGGAGGTAAGAGGGTTTAGAGAGGGGCATTTGGAGGGAAAGAGGAAGAGGACTAGGGGAAAACAGGTGACTTCTTTTGAATGGCCGTGGGTTGCCAGTGTCTGTGATCCTTGAGAGGAAGACCTTGAATAAATTTGGTTCTGGGGCAGAAATTGGCAAAAACAACAGGGGACAATTTTGAAGAAGACTGCAGTTTGGCTGAGCTGGCCAAAGTAAAAATTCCTTTTTGGACACCCTAGGCTGGTGAGGCTGGTGAGGGCTGGGTGAGCCCCAGCCACCATGGGACATCCCACTTCACAGAACACCTGCACTTTTCATCAGTGCCACCCTCCAAGGGGACTCACGCTATCTGAGATACTGCCCATTGGTATGTGTGAGACACACCGGGGACTTGGTGAGACCCTTTCTGCAATTAATACTACTAGTCAGTAGTATGTAGGCACTTCCAGCCTATGCTTTTAAAGTTTCACAAATTTGCCAAAGCATAAAATACACCAGAGACAAATTCCCAGGCTGTGTGTTAGAGAGCCTGACTCAGGAAGTTGGTAGAGAGTGAAATGGAGTGGAGATCAAGTGACGCCTGGGGATCTTGTTTTGAACAAGATCCTGAGGGAAACCTTATGATCAGTGAGTTTAGAAGACATTTACTTTAGGTGGGTTTAATGTCTAAAACCCCCAGCTTGGCTGAATTGAGCCGAGAATCCAATTCTTGGATTTGATGAACAAGTATAGCATGTTACCCTATTCATTACTTATCTTAATTTCATAGACATTGCTACATTTTCCCTTTGCATTTTTATTGAGTAGGAAGTCTAAATCTTTTTTAGTCTTTCTCTCTATGAAAATTACTTTATTCATAGAATCATTTTAGTTGTCTCTTATTCAAGCTTCTGGCATCTGGGGATATTGAGTGAGGATATGTATGTACCATTGGGCCCAGGAGGGTGAGAGCAAATCTTTGCCTTTCTCCTATTGCTTGCAGATTCCATCTCTGCATCTCTGCATTTTAATCACTCAGAAGAGCTTCCCTAATGTCTGGGGACATATGCAGGCTTTTTTTTTCTCTTTCTGGGACACCAAATATGCTGTATGCATCCACTTCTCCTAGCTAACTTGAGCCCTCCCAGCTGGGGTATCTGTTCTTTTTTCCATATGGCACTGTGTAGTTACATCTATAATTCACCCCATTCCATCAATTTACATGTCACCCTGTTAAGACTATAAGCTTTGTATTTCCAGAAGCAAGCTCAGTGCCTGGCAGTGGTCTGTGTTCAGTGAGTATTTATGGAAAGAAACAAAATTTCTTTGTTACATTTTTAATGCCCTTCAACAGCTGAAGCACTCTTTTGGGTGCAGGAACATACAGGGGCACGTGTAACAGGCACAGATCTGTAGGGAGAGGCCCTGAACTTTAGCAAAACCGAAAGCCCAGATTCTGCAGTCTCATAGGTACATTTTGCATGATTCCTCCTAAATGTAGACACTCGTCTCCCAACTTTATATCAAATCACAATTGTGAGAGATCCTTTCATTGTCTTGTCCTGGGTAGTAGGTGACTTTTGGAATATCCTAGTGTTGTCTATAAACTGGGAGCTTTCTCTTCGCGTACAAACCATATGGTCCCAATTCTGATCTCTATGAACAATCATTTCTGTACCCAGAAAAAAACTTTGATTTGTTTTTTGTTTTTAGCCTTAATAAATCTTTCTCTTTAATAAAAATAATAGGATTTTAAGAACAGAGTTCTTAAACTCCTTAATAGGCCTTTCGATATGACTGATTACAATAGTACATATTGTGGTAGATTGGAATGAGAGGAAAGGATATGAAAATACATGAACTGGGGTTCGACTCAAATAATGTTATGCTAGGAACCCTGGTAAGAAAGACACATTTTCAGAGTGTGCATGAAGACACCTATAAAGAACACATGTCCAGCTAAGTCCTATGTGGTCTGACCCCTGCTGTTTCTCTGAGCACAGTTTCCTAACTCTTCCCTTCGCCTACTCGGCTCCAGCCACCTGGGCCTCTGTGCTGTTTCTCGTTCACGCAGCCTGAAACGCGTTTCTACCCCTTTTCCTTCCATCGATGCCTGCTACCATCTTCTCAGTGAGATACTCCTTGCCCAACCTGTATAAAGAGTCACCGCTTCCACCTGTCACGTGTTAGTAGCTCCCTCCCAAGCTGTATATTTACCTAAGGCACACATCAGCTTCTAAAGGACTTTGTGTTCTGTGTGTTTGTTTTGTCTGTGTCTGTTAGAAGATAAACTCCATGAGGCTTAGGGTTTGCCTGTCTTGATCACAGTGTCTGGCAATAGACTAGGAAGTCAATCAATATTCACTGATCAATATTGACTTTAATGTTTATGGTACAGCACTTGTAAAATCCACATTACTATAAAAAATAGCCCTGAACTTAGCCACAGAAGAATTAAAAAGTTACAGAATATCTCCTAAGCTACTGAGGTTTAGTTTTTTTTATTATTGAAATTTAAAACTCTTTCATAAAATATTTCAATCTAGTGCTATTAAGATCTTTTAGATTAAGAAAATATTCTTTCCAATTTATAATGAAAAGTAGAAACAATGTAGGTGTCCAACTCTATTACAACTTATTAAGAAGCTGCTTAATAAGTTAATGCATATCTATACATTGTATTATATAGTCATGAAAAATAATAGACTCCTCTGTATCACCCGGTATTGATTCCAGGGTCCCTCTCAGACAACAGAACCTGAGGATGCTCAAGAACCTTACATAAAATGATGTGGGTATTTGCATGTAATCTACACATCCTCCATTACTTTAAATCACCTGTAGATTATTTATAATACCTAATACAGCATAAATGCTTTGGAAATAGTTGCTATACTATATTGTTGAGGGAATAAGGACAAGGAAAAAGTCTCTGCTTGGCCAGTACAAACACAATTTTGTTCTGAATATTTTCACTGTGCATCCTGTAGACACAGAGGCTGACACTGTAACAGTATATGCAACAATGTTTCTGATGTGGATTCTTAGGTGTCATATAAAATAAGACGGACATATACAAAATGTTTCAACTTGGTTACACAGGATGGAAAGAATTGAGAAGAAACGCATCAAAGCTGGAATGACTCTGAGCAGCAGATAATTGGAGTGAACTGTCTGGTCATACAGCTGCCGTGGTGGAGCAGAGTGGAATCAAGTGGATGAGCTCCCCCCGGAGCACCTTCAGTCCCATCCCTGACACTTCTGCCTGTGTCGAGCTGTCGTTGGTGGTCTCCTCAGCGCCATTGCCTCTAACCCAACTCAAGAGCTTCTCTCACATCTCACACCCCACCACCTAACACCAGTGCCAGGCTGCCACCTCATAAAGATTTGAATTACAGTCCAATATAACTTTGGGTCTTATAGGTCTTCTCCCTGGGATAATAAGTTTAGAGCTCTGCAGCAGACATAAATAGTTTTAGCAGGAAAATTATATTGAATAGTAATACTCTCTAGTGCTTTCTGTAATGACAAATGAAAGAAGCCTACATTAATGAGTCAATTTTTTTTTCTAGGACTGAGACTACTGCTGTTGAACAACACAGAAAGGATTTAGCTAAGCAGTTGATGCACTAAAACAGGCCCAACTGCTAAGTTGTAAGTATATTAGTTAATACTCTGGGCAACTCTTAAATGATGGCAGCATTTGTTTGAGGGCAAGCTCAGATAAAACATCTTGTAAAGTATCATCAGGGGTAGAGTTTACTTGGATATTTAACCTAAACAGTGCCAGCAAACACAGCCCTAGCCCCCCTAGTTTATAATCTCAGGGAAGTAGCTTACAAAATGGTCACCATTTGTTCTTGTTTCCTTAAGCAGCTATCTTGGTACCCAAGATGTCCTGTTTATAAACAGAGACCAGGGAGCAGAGTGAGCCGGGTGATGGATCACCCACAGCAGGCTGACTCCGCCAGCCGCTCTCACTGGCTCTAATTAAAAGACGACTAAGTCAGGGGTCTGAGGCAGGGATGACAATAGGGCAGCAGTCCCCAAAATAGCAGCAAAGGAAAATGGATGCCTTTGAGTGATTGCATGATGTCTGAATTAATGGCCAGGAAATGAGCGATTATTGCATACTTACAGCTAGGCTGTTTTATAAAGCTTGTGGCATGCCCAAAGCCATAGACTTGAACTTGGGGAAATTTAAGAGAGGAATTTGTTCAGTTATTGCTTGGCTGGATATAATGCATATCTAAGCAGTGCTTAAGCTAAGGGGAAAAACACTTTCTATTACTGCTGCTTTAGTATTGATGTTTCTAAAATAAGCATAATCTTATGAAACTCATTTTGTAGACACATGTAGTATCCAGTCAGTTGTTGACTTAAAGAAACAGCTTTTATTGCCACTGTCTCTGTTTCTGACTTATAATAATATTAGCTGGTATTTAAATAACTATTTTTCTGGAAGCAAATTTTCTAACATCTCCCTTCCTTTTTTTTTAAAAAAAAAATATTCTCATAGCACTCCAATCTGGCAAGTGAGTGACAAGCATCCATATTTTTCTGTGGCTGATTATTAGTTCAGTAGGTTAAAGCATCACACAGAGGAGCCGAGGTCCAGCATTTGGTTCCCGGGTGGGGGTGAGCTCCCTTAGGCTGCCCACCTAACCCCAGTTGCCATCTTGTAATGGTGTCCATTCATCATGGGTGGAAACAGGAGAAAGGATGAGGGCAGACTGGAGCAAATCCATCAGCACTACTGGGAACCCAACTGATTATGCCAGCCTCCCTGACGGGGGCAGGAGGAACAAGGAGCTGCTTTACAAAAACAATAGCATGATATGCAGATGGAGAAACTGAGGTTCAGATAGATTATACTCCTCTATCAAAAAAAATCATCCTTTAGGGCAAAGGGGAAGGGGAAGTGGGAGGGGTAGGGGAAAGGAAAGAAGGGAATGGAGTTACTATGAGAAAATGAAAAAATAGAAACAAAGTCTTTGCAAATAGGGAGGAATGGAAGGGTTGAGGGGAGGGCAGGAGAAGGGGGAAAAATAAGAACCAAGAGAGTTTATGTAAAGGTGTAGATTTCCAATGATGAATGTCATTATACTGTATACCTAAAATGTACCAATGAAATTAATAAAAAATCATCCTTTTAATAAACTCAAAAATCAATATGATTTTTCCTATTTTTCAGTCAGTTTGAATGTTTCAGACCTAATTGTAAAAACACTGGCCACTATCTAATCGGTACCACAAATGGACACCTAATTATTTCTTAAACTATATTTTGTTCTAAAAACAACCATCTCAAATTTAATGGTTTACAAACAGATGTCAAATACAGTCCTTCTCACATATATCTTCTCATGGACAATGGCTTACCTTAGAAGAACCTATAGGGAATAAAAGAAAAAAACCCTCACAGAACATAACACTGACTTCAAAAGGCAGATGATTTTGGCTAAGGTAGGAGATGTTACATTTGGCCTGGTTTTGTTTTTGCAGGACAGTTATTCTTAGCATGGCTGACCTGCCTTTTGTAGATTTCTTTTATCTTGGCAAATGTTAGCTCTGTTGCTCTCTCTCTCTCTCTCTCTCTTCTCCAACTGGTGGCACTTCACAGAAGCCCCCAGTCCTGCACCCTGTGCCACTGAGCACGAGCAAGGCCCCAGGTGGCTGAAGGCCCCACTAACCATCTCTGAGTCCCCAGCCCAGGATCCAGGAACATGGAACGACTCTACGGAGATGAGAAAACCTGTCCCCCACGCCTTACTTCACTCTATGGCAGGCAACTCTCGCCTTGGAGTTGCCTTTTGTGAGCGTTAGCTGAGTTGAGGAAAAGGAGCCAATGTCTGCAAATGCTATTTGTGTGCTTCTCTGACGGGAGGCATTTCGGCATCATGTTCCAATGTGCTGCGTGCAGAGATAGCAGAGTGTGCTCTTATCGGACAGGCTGTCGTCAGCCTGCACTTCTGCCTTATTTCGGTCCTGGAGCAGCCTGCAGGCCTGGAGTTGGCTACCAGCATTATTAATCCCCAGCTGGCCCGAAGTACCCAGTTCTCACTGCCCAAGGTTCTGTCTTGGGGCCCTTTCTCTCTGACTCCCCAGCTCTTAATCTGCCCCCTGCTTAGCTGGAAAGGTAGCTTCTAGTTTATCCCAAGTGTCTTGCTCACCCACATTCTTCATACCTTCTGATAGAAAGACAGCCTATTACTTACCCTGGGGACTGGAAGAGTGAGAGGAGGCTTTCTGTCTCAGGCTTTAAGGAGGTTGCCTGAGTCATGATTAAGAACAATGACTCTGGGACAAGATTACTTGGATCAAATTCCAGCTCCATTCACTTTTAGCTGTGTGATGTTAGGTAAATTACTTAACCTCTCTGACCTCCACTGTTTTATCTTTCAGTGAGAATAATGGTTTCAACTTCACAAGTTTCTAGTGATAAGGTCAGTCAGTTAACATTTGTAAAGTTCTTAGAACAGGTCAGGCAGACAAAGTGCTACGTATGTAAGTGCTATCCAGGGAGAAATTATTTCCTCTCCTCCTTCCCTCTATCTTGCCTTTTCTTGTTCTGGGCAGCAAGGGCAGGAGGCTGTGTGTTTGGGCACCAGGAACCAAGCTTCAGCTGCCCGTGGTTTCCAGCTCCTGGCAAAGGTTCAGCTGCAGGGTTAGGACTTTTCTTCCGCCTTGGCCCTGAGGTGCGACTGTGAACGTCAGGTTAGGGTCTGCCCAGCACAGGCTCCTACCAGCCCTAGGAGGTGGCTTATGTGTGTGGAGTACAGTGTGAAGCCTATGCCTCTGGGTTAGAATGAATTTTGTTTGAGATACTCAGCCATTTTTAGCATGAAAGAAAGTAACTCAAGAGAACTAGAGAGAAACTCTAGAAAAAAAATCTGCAACGAGAGAAAGACAAGAAATAATGGGAAAAGTTGGTTTTTGGAGGGCAGAGATGAGTTTCTTTCTCAGTATGAACGCCATGCACTCATTATATCTGTGACCTAAGGACATGCCTCTCCTGGGCTGCAAGCCTAAAGCCACCTTTGGCGAGGGACAGGTGTCAGGTGAGGTTGGGCAGCATCGGCCCCTATAAAACTGAAGCTTGTGTGCCCCTCAGAGCCTGCTTAGGCCTTGGGACTCTTCATATTCCTGATTACATCTGCTTCTTACAAGAGCCATCACTTGAGGTGAAATAAATATACTTATCCCCATTTACTTTACTGTGGACTTTCACTTTTGTTGGATGCATAAGGAAACTGCCACATTTTGAAATGGTGTAGTTGTTTAGAACATTTTGAAATGCTCCATATATGTAAATACAGTTTCTAAATTCTGAAAGTTCAAGATGATTCTCCAAGGTCTCTGCAGACCTGGGGCTCTGTTTCCCTTAATTATTGTAATCATAGTACCTGCTCAGTGATTATCCTTAAGAGAGGCTTAATAAATATTTATAGCACACGTTGCTGAATATATGGGCAAATGTACCATTTGTTTTATCCTCTGACAAACAGACTTCTGGGCTAATTGTTTTTCTTTATTTGGCTTCAGATACACAGTAATAGATTGATAATTTTTTACTTCAAATATTTTCTCATAGTTGGTCTTGGTTTTATTATCTGCTTGTTTATTAATATTATAGTTTAATTTTAGGAAGCAGTAAGTGTCAATGAACCCACCCTCCAACACAAAAGCCCAGATTTTAACAATTACTTGCATCTGACTTGTGGCTCCTCCCATCCCATTTCCCTGGCTCTGTGTCCTGAGGAAGGCATCACCCAGATCCTCTACTGAGTACTCATTCTCGTGGGATGGGCGTAGGAAAGAAAAAACAGGTCCATGTTCCAAGCAATTGGCCCAGGAGTTTCTGAAACAAATTCACTTCCAAGTTCAAGACTGACCTTATTTTATTCAGTAGTCTGATGTGATCCAATAGATCTAGGGTACTTTGCAGACCTGTGATGAAAGGGGTAAGGTAGGAGGAATTTCTTTGGCTTTTGATATGCACTGTTTAACAAAGAGATGTAACTTACTTTTAAAACAAAGAATTAAGTCACTTAGTACTGAGTGATCAGAACTGATGTTCATCTTCAGGCAAATATGGCCAAAATCTCCCACAAAGAGGAATTCTCTCATTCACTATGGGTCCCTTGGCCTTTAGCCACCCTTAGCTTTTCAGTGGCTTCTTCTGTGACTTCCACATTCCTGTATGGATGCTGCTGCTGCTCTCTCTTGAACCATTAGTTGACTTGACTTGCCACCCAAGAATATTTACCACGGCAGAGGACTCAGCTCTCTTCTGCCTCTCTCCAGTGTGTCCTCACCATTCTTGTTCAAATCAGTATTTCAGAGTGTACGAGACTATGACTTAACTGATACGGTCGCCTGAGCCAAGGGCTGCACCTTGGCTGCCTTTCCTGAAATCAAGGAGTTTTTCACTTTCCCTGGAGCTAATTCTGTCCTTTTCCTTTGGACTTGTTTTCTTTGTACCCAGCTCTATCCACTCTCTCCAATGCTCTCTCAGTACAGTTTCCCTCATGATCACCTATCTGATTCTCCAGTGGTACCCCACGCCATCTGTCCAGATTTTTCACCCTGACCACCTCTCTCCTGGGTGTGGGGCTCCGATCTGATCCGACCTGGACCCTGGGTTTTTCTGG